AGCCTCCATCGTTAATTCCTTGGCGCAAAGATTACGTAGAAATATTTCCCACTCTGTGCCAAATATATTTACTGAATTCATTCTCGTCACGAATTCTATCGCAAATCGTGACGAAACATCAGCTGTTGCCTTTTCTGTCTCCATTATGGTGACAGAACTTAATTTTGTCTCAAAATCCGTCTAAAATGTGGGTGCCAAAGTTTCCCGAGTTTTTTTTTCTCACTTTGCGCCAAAAAAATCGCCACAGAATTGAATTCCGTCACCATTTTCGATGCAAAAAAAAAAAAAAAAAAAAAAAAAAACGCAACGAATCGACAACGAATTATGTTCCATCACGATGTTTTCGTCGCGATTCGTGATTTTTCTTGTAGTGGTAAATTTAATTTAGTATTATTTATGGACATTAATGTTTATGTTTATGGATATATTGAACAAATATTATGAACATAATACATGATGAATGTTATAAAACATGATGCATCAGTAATATAATGTTAATGTACATTAAATTTTATTTTTATGAACATATAGAAGAACATTATGAACCTACTATAAATTGAATGAAAAAATATGATGTACATTTAGTTTATTATTTATAGACATTAAGATTTATATTTACAAACATTATATTATAAATATAATATAAAATGAAGTTATTAAATATGAGGCAGTCGTCCTTGACACTTATACAAAACAATTTCATTTTGAAGCATGGTCTATGATATAATTTTCCTACAATTTATAATGCATTTATTTGAATAAATAAAGTTTCGTTTTTTAACAACATTAGCAGCAACAAAGAAAGACTACGAGTGGTCTAATGGTATCCGGGTTGGACTTCCATTTGGAAGGTTACGAGTTCGAGCCTCAGCATACTACAATGTAATAGGGCCAGTAACATCTCAAAAAAAAATAATAATAATAATAATAAAAAAATAAAAAAAAAAAAAGACTACCAACAAAACACAAGCAAACTAAGATCTCACTCTATCGGACCCCAGCCCATGGCATCCAAACTTAGAAGTATTTTCATTTTATTGACGTCCCTCTGACTACTTTAGTTTCACCTTTCTTATGAATGAGCCTTAGATAAGCGAATAAGTTGATTAGATTATGGCCATGATACACCCATAATTGTATATATATATCATAACAATTGAATTTAATTGTGTAGCATAATAATCTTGCTACCATATCTATTAATATCTCTCTAACCATTCTATCTATTATTTAATGCATGTATTTGCTTAATTTTTTTCGGCGCCCTTAAAAAACACCTTGTCCTCAAGCTGGTGTAACTTAAAATGTAAGTGATCTTTTGAAGCATTACCCAATATAAATATTCAATTAAAAGTTTTGGCTGAAATATGTCTAGGAGTTTGTGATGCATAACACACATCAATTGATGATCTTGTAAAAATATCTAATGGCCTCCCAATTTAAATATCAAGTTTAAATCTATAATGGCCTCCCAATTTAAATATCAAGTTTAAATCTCTAATGGATAACGCTGGAAATTATGAAATTTCCGACCACCTGAAAGTGATCTTAAATCAAGTCAACAGTCTTGTTCCGACCATTTTTGATATCAGAAAAAACCTTTGTTGCTATTTCCGACCACTTTTTGCTTTCAACTTGATTTAAGATTACTTTCAGGTGGTCGGAAATTTCATAATTTCCAGCAGTGTAACTTCAACTGAGTTGATCAGACAATATAATTGATTTGGTAACCATAAGTTTTTAAATTTGACTCATATGGGAGCTACCTATAAGATCAAATCAGAACTGGCATGGCGCCTGGATAAAATATTGTTGATCAATGTTCATACAATAAGGGGAAAAGAGGGAAAAAAAATTGCAGTGTTATTTTCATAATTATAAAAAAAAAAATTAAAAATTTATAATATTTATAAAATTGCCTACAAAGTTCTCATTTATTTTCTAACCGTTGGTCAAATCAAGTAGACATATTATATTATTTTGCACTTTTTAGATGAATCGTTGTTCTTACTTAAATTTGTCCCTATATGTGTGTTTGTGTGTGAAACAAAAAAATAAAATAAAATAAAATAAAATCTTCACGTATTGTTTGGTTCATTTAAAAAAAAAAAAAAAACTATCATTTAAATTTTTAATTGAGATATATGTAATTAGCATATACTTTAATTATTCAAACTTAACAAAGATTTTATTATAAGGAGTCATGATAAATGACATTTTCATTTATTTATTTATATGCATTTGTTTGTGTGTGTGTGTATATATATATATTGTCTCACTCACAAATGCACAATTGTAGAAAGTAAGCAATTGGAGATGAGAAGAGAATGATTAGCATTATATTTCCACGTTTCGGCACCTGGTTTCCGAGAATGTCATTGTACATATATATATGTTAATTGGGACTTTGGAGCTTATCTGAGACAACATGCGGTAATTCCACCCACTGTTTTTGACTAAATTAAGATCTTGTCTTGTACTAAACCTAATTAAATTACTAATATAATGAGGCCTCAACACATACATACATACATTTCTTAATACCAACAAACCACTTTCTTCCCTACTTAGTCCACCTTCACAAATGGCGTGGAACTAGCTAGCTAGGAAAATTAATGGATAGATGCATGCATGGGACAAAATTAACACCGCCCAATAAGTTCTTAAATTTCTTCACGCCACTTTAAGGAAGACTAAATGTCCGGCACGAATTAATAATAAGGTGCTACAAATTAACATAAGACGATGATATTCATATGGATATATATGGAGTTTGTTTTACCGGAGTGGAAGCTACTAGCTAGCAATAATTAAGAATTAATGACTATGATGATGTTGTTTTAGCGGAGACAAATGTTGAGCAACTAGTGGGTTATTATTGCTTTTGAATTTGAATTTGAATTTGATGAGACATATATGCAATGCATGCATAATGTTAATTATTATTTCATGCATGCATGATTATAGCCGGGCGGCGGCTTAGCTTGGTAAAATGCATGGTTTGGGAAATCTCCACGTTTGGGGTTCTTCCCTAATAGCAACACGTCAATTCATTATGGGTGGTTTCGAGAAAAATCTAGTGTATTCTCAACAACTAATACATACATATTTTTGAAACTTAGTACTAGTGGATGGTGATATTTAGAATTGCGTAGAAAGTTGAAAGTGAAGGTGGTACCACAAAGTAACGAAAAAGAAAGGGAAGTTACGTTGTTGGTCCAATAAGGCAGGGAGGGTTCATGAACTTGCAAACATTTCTACTTATCTTCTTCTCATCTGCTGTTCAATTTGAAAACAATAGATCCATCGGATAATATAATGATATTTGCATTTTAGTATGAACGCTTTCTACTTTCTTAATGATTCTTGACTTTAACATGGCACTTGTGCGATCCATAAATAGTAACATATATTCAATAAGTGTATATATATATATATATATATATATATATATATATATATAATTCCATACAAGCATCACTTGTCAAACTTCAAAAATACTATATATGGTGATACAAAGAGAATCATACTAAAAAGTCATAGAGACAAATTAATTTGTGGGTGTTTATACGCAAGGGACACAAATTTTAATTAAATGTAGCCAGCACAACAAATAATGTATTTGGATGCACACAAGTATTGAAATCTCCACATACTAAACTATTGCACTAAACATAATATTAGTAAATGGCTAAATGCAGATTATGTGTGTTGCTTCATATTCCTAAAGATAATATATTTCTTGGTAAGTGCAGGATAAGTTTTCATAATGTTTAAGTATAGTTTTATTAGTATATAAAGTTTATATATTTAAAAACTATACGGAAAAGAGTCAAATATGCTCTCAAACTTTAACTTAAAAGTCAATTAGGCCCCTAAACTTTTTAAAGATGCAATTACACTCAACAACAATTTATTTAGGTGCAATGAAGCCCAAAAACAAGTTAATGACCTGTTATCACAGGTCATTAAGGTTCAGGCCACCTTCTGACGAAATTTCTGGAAAAAAAAAATGACTGGTGAAATTTCTGGCAAAAAAGTGACCGCCGGCGACCGTTCGTCAGTCGCCGGTCACTTTTTTTTTTGCCAGAAATTTCGCCGGTCACATTTTTTTTTGCCAGAAATTTCGCCGATCACTTTTTTTTTTTTTTTTTTTTTTTTTTTGCCGGAAGGTGGCTTGAACCCTAATGACCTGTGATAGAAGGTCATTAATTTGTTTTTGGGTTTCATTGCACTTAAATGAATTGTTGATGGGTGTAATTGCACCTTAAAAAAGTTTAGGGGTCTAATTGACTTTTAAGCTAAAGTTTGAGGGCCTATTTGACCCTTTTCCCAAAACTATATTAAAAGTACTATTAAACACAAAACAATCAAATTTTTAAAAAATTAAAAATACTTTAAAAAAAAAGTAAAGAAGAAAAAATTTGTTTTACCAATGAATAGTAAACATAACATGTAAAATGAGCCAAAGAGAACAACTAAATATACATCATATGTATTTCTTTTCACTTTATAGTATGTTCATAATATTGTTTCTATAGCTTCATAAAAACAAAATTTAATGTACATAAACTAAAATAATGATTTTATTTACATATAGATTTAATTTTAAAAAATAAAAAAAAATATCAATATGGGTGTCATTTAAAAAAGTAAATTTCTAAAAAATCTAGTGTACCTTTTTTGTCAAAATTTAATATTAACTATTTGCAATTTTGTCGAGGCCGGGGTGCATGTACAAAACTGATAGGTGCTTAATATAATTGTGTTACTTTTGTTATGCATTAAGTAACCAATTATGAGATAAAGTGTGTGAGATGAGCTAATTGAGAGCATTATTTTGTTTTGAAGGTAAAAAAAAAAGAAAATTCAAGGATAAATTGGAAAAAATGAGCAAAAATAGGATCGAAGCCAAAGACACTGTCACGCAACATTGTCATGCACGTGACAAGGCTCATGAGGAAGATTTTAGAAAGTCATCTCTGATATCACAAGCCTCATCACAGTGTGACGAGGCTCTTGAGGTAATCATCTGCAAGGCACATTTTGCTACTACGAGCAATATCACGATGTGACGAGGTTTGTGAGGTATACTTTTGCGAGGGGTGTTCTGCATTCACGAGAAACCATCATGACTGAGGAGGTTCATGATGCACAAGTATCTGAAAGTCAATCAAGGCAGTCACGAGGCATGTCACGACGTGACATGCCTCGTGACGCAATGCATTTCGAAAGCATAAATGTGAGAAATCAAATTTTATTTAAGGACTTTTGGATGTTTGCACTTAGTTAGTTACTTTCTTTTGGAGAATTCAACTTCCATACTGAGTCAATCTTTCTAACTCTTAGAACTCCAGATAGAAAATGTACTACATTTTTCCTTTCGAATATAAGCATTAGTTAGATTCAAGTTTCATTTATACTTTGGAAGCAAGGATTGAAGACTTTGCTTTGTAATTTCATCTCCAAATAGATAAGTCAATTTCAATTTCATTTCGTTTCACTTTTGCTTATTGTCTTGTTGATTTGATTTCCTTCTTTGTGATTGCTATGGACTGTTCTTTTGATCTTGAATCTATTGTCACTTATATTATAATCATGTGTGAGTAATTCCCTTAGGAGGGAGATATGGATGTAGATTAGGTTAATGGATATATGACCTTGAATTGATTGAGTAGGAGATATGAGATTTGGCTTTGATGATGTTAATTAACATGATTGAGTTTTGATTAGGAAGTGATTACCTAATGTAGACTCAAGGGGTTAATTAACCTTACATCACCTTTTAGAAAAGGGAGTATGAGATGTCAAAAACAATGTGTTTGGTTAAATGCCTCTTAGAGGCTCATGGGTCATGTGAATGTCCTTATGTGTTCTAAGAGTGTGGAATAACCTTGATAAAGGCTTCCTCCCAATTAATGGCATATGCCATCAAGTCAATTGATTTTCACTCTTGATCTGATTTGGAAACATTACCATGACCTGGCCTAATCCAATTTCCTATTCTCATCTGCCTTTTACATACTTGTTATTCACTTAACATTTACTTGTTTTACTTGTTGCCCATGAAATTGATAGTACTTTGTGCTTGAGAACACATAAGCTTGCATTTATCCCGAATCCTTTGAGAATGACAAATCTCACACTATCACTCCTTCGATCAATAATCTAATTTGACAAACTCAGTATGTGCTTGTTGATTAAGGTCTGGATCTCTGTCACTACTGGAAATTATGGAATTTACGATCACCTGAAAGTGATCTTAAATCAAGTCGAAAGCAAAATGTGGTCGGAAATAGCAACAAAGGTTTTTCCGAATACCAAAAGTGGTCGGAACAAGACTTTCGACTTGATTTAAGATCACTTTCAGGTGGTCGGAAATTCCATAATTTCCAGCAGTGTCTAGTCCCTAAAGATATCAAAACAACAATTCTATGATGATTCTAAGGTTGCCTTTTGATAAGAAAAATAGCTATTGAGATTTCATAGCTATCAATTTAATGAAGTTAGAAAAAATGGTGATTAGTCACTAGTAAATTGCTATAACAAACCTACTTAATTAGTTACCATTTTCTTAAAAACTTGAAACACATCTAAAGATTCAACTTACCCTCCCCTCCCCTAGGAGCGTTATGCCATGGAACCGTGTTCACCATTTATGGTGAACACGGTTCCAACGGTGTTAGTACACCGTTATTTTTTTTTTCTTTCTTAATTAATTGCGTGACTTTTCTTCTTCATTTTCACATTTTGCGGTTTTACTTTAATTTGAGGTGAACAATGATTTCGGACATTCATAAATTATGAATTCATGCCTGCACATTCACTTTGGAACCATGCCTATACATTCCCGTCCGAAATCACGGACATTCATAAATTATGAATCCATGCCTGCACATTCACTTTGGAACCATGCCTACACATTCACTTTGGAACTATGAGATTATGAATTTTCTGTTATAAGATTATGAATTTTCAGTTATGAGATTATGAATTTTCTGTTATGCGATTATGAATTTTCTGTTATGCGATTATGAATTTTATGAAAATTCATAATCTCATAACAGAAAATTCATAATTTGATCAACGCGCGCCGTAACTCCACATCCGCAATTTTTTTTTTTTTTTGCCTAAAAACGACATCGTTTGGCCTTGTGTTCACCATTCACGGTGAACACATTTCCAGGACATAATTTGCCCCTCCCCTAGCCCTCTAGGCTTTTAGTTTGCTGAAAACCAACAATATGATATTTCTAGGGTAATAGATTGTTGATTAAAACTACAAATAGTAATTATTTGTTGGTTTTAATATTGGGCACTTAGCAAGAATCCATTGTGCATTTTTGTCAGAGTATGTGGAGATAATCTAATTTGAAAGATTCTATATGTACATATTGGTTAGGTTTGGTCTCTCTACTCCCTAAACATTAATTTTAGGAGTTTTTTAGGATTGTATTTTGATAAAGAAAGTAACCTACTTAGGAACCATTAGTTACCTCTACATCAATACTCATTACTTGTATGGCTTACTACATATATTTGATTTTTGTATTCTCTTTGTATTTGTGAATTGTTCTCCTTTAAATTCTATAGTTTCTATTGAAAATGCACTTAAATTTTAATTTTGGTGTTTTAATGACAACCAATGGTTAAGCTCTAGATTTTAGTATAACATTTAAGCATGAAGAGTGATATTGAGCCACCAATAGTTATCTGATCATGTTGCATGACATGCCATCCATACCAACTAATCAAATAATGACACATTAGCCTACTACTTAACTGTCATCATACCATCTGCAAACTCCTTTTAATATATATATATATATATATATATATATATATATATATATATATATATAGGTTTAAGTTCCAGTGCGGGGAATGGTTCCCGTGCGGTTGTACAGGTGATTAATGTGCGTGAGTTTTGTACTTAATGTGTGTGAATCTTGTGTTTAAGGTGCGTGAGGTTTGTGCTTAATGTGCGTGAGTATGTAGTGCTTAATGTGCGTGAGTTTTGTACTTAAAGTGTGTGAGTCTTGTGCCTAAGGTGCATGAGTTGTGTGCTTAATGTGCGCGAGTGTGTACTTAATGTGAGTTGTTGTTGAAACTTTAAAGTGCATGAATTTTGTGCTTAATGTGCGTAGGTTTTGTGCTTAAGGTGCGTGAGTCTTGTGCTTAAGGTGCATGAGTTTTGTACTTAATGTGCGTGAGTGTGTACTTAATGTGAGTTGTTGTTAAAACTTAAGGTGCGTGTGTTTTTGTGCTTAAGGTGCGTGAATTTTGTGCTTAAGGTGCGTGAGGGTTGTGCTTAAGATGCATGAGTTTACTGCTTAAGGTGTGTGAGTTTGTGTTCTGAATGTAATTTGTTTGTGCGTTTAATGTGCGTCTGTTGTGTACTTAAAGTGCGCTAGTGTAATGCTTAATGTGAGTCCGTCCGCACAATCGCACGGAAAGCACCACTCGCACCTGATCCCTTCCCTATATATATATATATATATATATATATATATATATATATATATATATATAATCATTTCCCCACCATTTTGGTGACAAACTATTACATAGATTAGAGCCTCTCAACCCCCAAATCTGAGCTCCCAACCCCCATTGTATATGTTCTTAATAAATAACATACATCAGTTATACTAATAATATTCATCTTCCACTCTACTATTCGATGTACTATTTTGACTTATCAGTTTTCTAACCAAATCAACACCCCTTTAGACCTGGTTGACTGCGTCATTAACCCCAATTTTCTCTTCTTCCTTGTTTTATTTTTATGTTTTTTTGCGTCATTTTACCCCCTTTTCCTAGTTTTTTTGGCTCCGTTTCTCTTCTTCCCTGTTTTATTTTTATGTTTTTTTTGCGTCATTTTACCCCCTTTTCCTAGTTTTTTTGGCTCCGTTTCTCTTCTTCCTTGTTTTATTTTTATGTTTTTTTTTTTGCGTCATTTTACCCCCTTTTCCTAGTTTTTTGGCTCCGTTTCTCTTCTTCCTTGTTTTTTTTTTTTTATGTTTTTTTTTTTTGCGTCATTTTACCCCCTTTTCCTAGTTTTTTGGCTCCGTTTCTCTTCTTCCTTGTTTTTTTTTATGTTTTTTTTTTTTTGCGTCATTTTACCCCCTTTTCCTAGTTTTTTGGCTCCGTTTCTCTTCTTCCTTCATTTCCGGGTTTTTTTTTCTTTTCTTTTTCTTTTTTTTTTTTCCGTATTCATTTCCGTTTTCTACTTCCCCACCCCCGGAGCATTGCCCCCCCCCCCCCCCCCTCCTCCCTTTAACTCAATCGTTATGCTTAGCACGTGCTCACCGCACAAATCTATATCCATAATTTCTATACGGTAGATTTATATATAATTTCTATACTATATATTTATAATTTCTAGACTCTCGGTGAGCTAAAATTTATACTTTAGATTCATAATTTATAACCACTAATCTATATCAATAATTTCTATACTGTAAATCCATAATTTCGAGACTCGCGGTGATATAAAAATTATATTTTAGATTCATAATTTTAGCTCACCGAGAGTATAGAAATTATGGATATACAGTATAGAAATTATAGATATAGATTCGTGTGCACCACGTGCATGGTGAGCACGTGCTCACAGCATAATTTGCCCCTTTAAATCTCTCTCTCTCTTGTTATTGTTTTCAATTTAGTTTTTTTTTTTAACTTTTTTTTGGGGGTAGTTTGAGGAGATGATAACAAATTAACAATGGGTTGCTTCGTGTAAAATTGTATAGTGATCGAGCTTATTTTAAACTTGTATTAATTTATTAAACATAATTAATAGTTTATTAATCAGTGTTTAGACGCGATTTTTAAAACAATAATTTTATTATATAATATAAAGGTTATTGAAGGCTAAGGCTTGGTGGTCTTAAGCATCTTATTTTTTTTGAGAGGTCTAGGAGATCACTAGGAATAACAACTATATATCTCTTTTCACTTCCACTGAACATTTTTAGGCTTTATCCTTGATGATATAATTTTACTATTGTTGATTGACACTACTATAAAAAAGGACTTTAGTGTCAGTTTTTTGACCTCATTTAATTTTAATTTTTAGAATTGTATTTTGATAAAGAAAGTAACCTA